GATCAATTAAGAGTTCAAAATAAGTCTGTGTAGAGTTCCCCTTAAGTCACTTTTTTAATTGTTATGTCTTTTGACTGTCTAACCAACATAACCAACTATATCAGCAACGTACACCATTAGGACAGCAGGCCCGCCCTGAACCATACTGCTCCTCATTTAAAGTGGCTCATTATGTTTTTTCAAATTTGACACAATACATCTGAGTGTTGTTCTGTTCCCTCCAGTAACTGATGAAAAAATTATAGTCTACTGTGCCAGGGGCTGGTGTTCATAAATTCATTTATATTTTGTTTAATTAGATTGTCTTACATTTTTAGTAAAAAGGTCAAGGTTGTTCTGTAGTGATGTTGTCCTTGGCAACATGGAGTCATCCATGTTACATCTATTCTCAAGATGTATCACAGTCAATCCCTTCATGCTTTTGTAAATCAAACTTAATCTTCTGCCATGGTTTTTAATGGAACCTACCGTCAATTTTACACATAGAGACCTTGGTGTCATCAAGGCTCTCAGCTTGCATGGTTGGCCATTGGTTGCAGTAGGAGAAATGTAGAATCCATCATGTTTGAGCTTCCCCCACAACAACCTTTTGTTTGTTTGTTTCTTTGTTTGCTCGCTCCAGTTAATTTAATACATATCAAAAGTGAATTTCATGACATTTTTTTAAATCATTTCATTTGACCTCTTAACTACTGTCCTTTTTCACTCTGTGGTTTTAATGGCTCTGCTGTCTTTATAGAATGAAATACTTTCTGACATTTTGAGAAAGACTTAATAAATCTTAGGTCAAGTCGATTTGTATGTAAGTAGTGTGGTGCGCTACCCGAGAGGCAAAAGATTTAACTGACATTTTTAAATAGGTTCATTGAATAGGTTCATTGAGACATTAATTACATTCACTCTTTAACCAAAAGTGTTGTGGGCAATGGAAGTGGATCTTGACAAGCCAGTGTGCTCCTATGACACCCCCACCCATATAGCCCTGCAGTATTTCCGATTGCCCCTCTATCTGCAGGCAGCGCGGGCACACCAGTGAAATCACTAATGCTTAATTAGTAGATTAGAAGATCCAATTAGGAGATCTCCTCTGTCTCAAATCAAGCCTCTGTCAACATGTCCTATGAAAATGAGATACTCCACAGTCCCACTTAAGGTAAGCGTTTCTCCCCCTGTCAAAGTGATCACATTGGTTGTTAACTGTTGCATGCTTTGTTTAACCCCGAGGACACCTTGTTTTGAAACCAATTCTTGATTAACCTTTTATATTTCAAGCATGTTTCAAAGAGAGTCTGAACAATGGGACAATGCTGAGAGAAGTCTAGACAGCACAGATGTAATATGAAAACATGCAGCTGTATCCTGCATCTCTTTGGCTGTGTGGTGTGTATCCTGGACTTCTAAAACACAACGAATGTCACTAAAGATGGAGGCAAACAACAAAAGCAAATATAATGACATGAGAAGAGAATGCAAGTCTGTAGCCGTCAAATTAAGATTAGTGATTTGGTTTGGATTATGTGTATATAACCTAACCCAGCTTTCATTTCTTCTATTTGAAAACAACTGTATAGTATATCATTCATAGCTGCTCAACATAAAGTAGTACCATTACCTGTCATATAACAGTAACCACTACCATCTTTTACACATTTCACTTTTACTCATGATGTTCTTAATCAATGCCACTTCTAACAGTTCCATTCTGAGATAAATATCTTTCAGAAAATGGGCTACAACAGCAAAGCAAATTTAGTGCTTTAATAAACCACTTGGCCTTATCGATACAACAAAGGGTATGCAATGTTTAGATTTATTTTAGTGGCAGTGACTGTTCACTATACAATAGTTGCTTTGAGTTTGGGCTCTCTAACCAATCCTGTAAATAAATTAAAGTTAAAAACAAGCAATATAAGATTAGTATGGTCCAGAATTTTGCATCTCTGCAGCCCTAATCTGTACCTTTATCATAAAATCGCTCTGTGACAAAAACTCCAAGAAAGCTGGCTGTTTACTGTACTGTGTGCGTTAAAGCTGCACTAACTGTTTTAGCCACTATGGGGCAGGGAACCTCCAGCATAAGCTGACTGAACCCACCATTTAAAGTTAGTAAATGCATGTCTCTCTCCTCTATCCACTCACCCCAACCAGCCGAGGCAGAAGGTCGCCCATCAACAGTCGGGGTCTGTTGCCGGGGAGTTTTTCCTCCCCGTTGTCACCAAGTGCTTGCTCAAAGGGGGATTTGTTGGGTTTTCCTCTATAATAATAATAACAGTACGGTCTAGACCTTACTTTGTAAAGTGTCCTGAGATGACTTTTGTTGTGATTTGGCGCTATACAAAAAATATATTTGAATTTGAATGTCCATCAGACATACAGCATCATTATCAACGCACTAGTTTTATGTTTCTAATCTAATGTAAGTTCAATATTCAATTTCTTATTAGCTCTGTTTTGATCTCCACCAAGATCTAGAAGGAAAGATATCTTATCTTATAGTACACAGCTCTCTAGCTGCAAGGTGTCTGTCTGTTTGCTGCTGTGCAAGTAGCATGAGTCAGTTTATCTCAGCTTGCTGGCTGGAAACAGCTGCTCCTCTGCTGCTTGAAACTGAGTTAATGAGCGTGCTGTGAGTGAACACTCTGTGTTGTAAAACCAAAACAATAAGCAAAAATATGCTGCAAAGCTCAGGAGAGCTGCAGTTACAGAAAACAGTTTGATGTGGATCTTTTAGGTGCTTTTCATTTGCCACAAAAGTGACTTTTATGGAAAGGCGATAATAGAAATTGCCTTGAATGTTCTTTCGATTGATTGCTAAAACAATGACCCATGCAACTTGAAGTTTGACTCCACAACACAAATGTACTGAATTTCACCAGGTGACAGTAAGTGGTGTTCACTGATATGGCATGCAAATTACTTGTGTGGTGTCACTGGGAATGAGTGCTTCCAGGAAATGACAGCACATCCACACAGTTCTTTGGGTTTACAAACAGAGCTCATTAAATATGGGCGCCAGACGACCATCTTTGTTTTGTTTTCTTTTTTGTTTGGTTAAAGCAGAAATTGTTGCTTTTGCCATTCTACCGTGAACTCTTAATATTCCTGCAACGTAACTGACCTGCAAAGTTCAAGATCCAGCACAGATTCAGAATTTTGGAAGAGTGTATGTCATTTCTCATTTCTCTCAAAATCTTTTTTAAATTACATTATACATACATTATTAATTCATTATACCTTAGCTGGGTGCGAACTAAATGCTGCAAAATGAATGTTAAATGAACAAACTATCTAATAAAGGAAAAATAGTAATTATTGGATTCACTGACACCTACAGTTGAGGTCTCTTTTAAATTAGTGAGTATACAATATTCATTACTTTTAGGAATGAAAGTCAAAGCTACAAAAGTAAGATCCAGGTTGTGTTTGACCAGAATGATTCTTTAAATTACAATCTCTGTAGGCAGTTTCTCTGCCCACTATGTAATCATATTTAATCAATGGCCACCATGAAATGTTCCCTAGAAGATGATTCCTGTAACGCTTTAAAAAGCTGTTAGCACAGTTTAATCCACAAAGTAGGTCTAATTATGACATGGAGCAACATATAATATGATGAAAAGACTGATGTGCTATGGAGACTTTGATGCTCTTATTTCCCCTCCTCCTTATTTAAAAGATGAATGTTTAATATAGACAACATAGAATGATTCTTTGCAGTTGTCCAAGCTACCCACACCACACACGCCCTAAAGCTAAAGTCCACATTAACATCGTAATAGGAAAGTGTGTTAAAGCGGTGCTTTAGCAGCCTGACACAATTGAATTGGATGTCAGAAGGATTCCTGCTCAGTTTAATTGAATCTGCCCAGCACTAAAAAAGAAAATCTTAAGTCAAAATAACCTATTAGATCTATCAGGTACTGTTTTGTTGAGTTTGACAGGTAGCACTGTGATGCCCCCCACACCCTCCCTCCTTTATTCTTGCTAGTTGGGTAATGCGGGTTGTAGGGGTGGGCGGTAGCTGATGTTATCCATGGTGTTTCTATCTCCGTTTCTGTTATTTGTTAATAAATTGTGGCCTGTTCGCTCTTTTTTCTGGAGCTCACTCAGCAAATCCCTCGAGTGCAGAAGGGGTTTTAGTGAGGTACTACAGCTAATGGATGGTGGGGGCTGAAGGCCTGGTCCAGGTGAAATGATTGCTAAGAACTGGCTGTTGTTCAGTGTCCTGACCTCACTTCAGAAGTAAAGGTTAAATGTAGAATGTAATGGTATCCAAATAATCTAAAAGCTCAAAAATGCAGCTGTAATGTATACATTATACAATATTAGGTTAAAAAAAGCCATGTGAATCATGTTCTCTCCACCATCCCCCTTCCCACTCACTTCCCTATTGCATAGGGTGGGCTACTGGTTTGAAAAAAAAGCTGCTCCTTTGTACCATGAAGGTACAAATGAATAATAACTTTAGGTTATCAAAGTGACATGTCAAGAACTCTTGAACTTTTTAATTAAAATTTCCAGGAGTGAAGAGATGTGAAGATATAACATGAACAATGAGAGCAACCTAGTGGGACAAACAAAATCATATAGCAAGTCCACGTTTGTGTTTTGGCAAACAGTTGTGTTTAGGGTATACAGTATGTTGTAAGATACTTATGTTTGGATTCATTTAGTTTGACAGATTCATAACAATGGACTAAGCTGCTCTAGATTTACTGTGAGTTCAAATTAGTGTTTACTGTCTGGTAACAGGCATCCGAATCAAGTCGACCCTGTGGTCAAAAATCTTTTCTGTTAGCTGTTCATAGCAATATGTCTCAAAGTACAGTAGCTCCAAAGTTCCCCCATTTAAATGCAGTCAGCCTCCAAATCCCACTGAGGATGTGTGACAGTTAAATGTGGTTAAGGTGTAGATTATACTTAATGTATGGCTTTTCCCACAGTCTGACACTGAGCCCTGATTTCTACTCACACTGAGTTTGTTTTTCCTTTGCTTTCAGACTCACGAGCTGGAGAAGGAGCGCCCAGAACGGTGGACCATGCAGTGATCGGCGGAGTGGTGGCCGTGGTCGTCTTCGCCATGCTCTGTCTTCTCATTGTCTTGGGGCGCTACTTTGCAAGACACAAAGGTGCAGTAGTGGCCTTGAAAGTACAGAATGATAACCAACACTCACACATTTATATTTTTTTTACTGACTAAAGCTGCATCAGGTAAGATGAAGATTATGGACTCTGACTGGTGTCTTCTGCATAGTAACGGTGATAGAAGCTCATAGGCATTTCGTAGTAGTTTGGGCCTTACGTTTTGCCAAACTGAACTGAAATGCAGTAAACCTGAAGTAATTAAAACTGATGGCACAAAAATACAATTTATATTAAAGCGAGAGCAGGCTGCTATAATCAGTCTCTTTACATCCATGGATGGATACGATCCGTATAATGGAAAGGTGGTTATTAAGGCTATTGGTTCCTGATCATTTTTCATATTGTCATGCTGAATAGTATAACACATCTTTGCCCTCATAATATAGAAATAGATCCTGTATAATCTACAATATGTAACATTTCACACTTTGATATAGTGTTTCTATGCAGAAAGAAATGGAATTAAACACATGCACAACTTCAGAAAAGAGATACTGTAATTGAACTCCACAATCAGTTGTATGGTTAAAAACATACATTTACTGAGGTCCAGTGAGTCACAGCTTAGCAGGTTACCAACCAAGATTTCAGCATTTTGTAAGTAAATAAAAAGGTGCAGTCTGTTCCGCTCGTACAGACAAGTGAACCTACAAGGTTGGTAAAACAAAACATCCTGTGTCCACTTGACTGAGTCGTCCATGTTTTATTAACACAAAAGGCCTAACGCCACGCCACACCACCACACCACAAAGGACAGCTAGACAGATTTTAAAAGATGCTTCTGTTTTATTACTATTACTTTTTGCAGTTTTGGCCATATCTTGTATTAGCAATTAACGTTGAAATCTGGATCTGTGGAAACAAAAAGCAAGTCTGAGGGGGGAAGAAGCAAGCAGTGCAACGATTATCACAAGGACCTCTTTGGCCTTTTTTGGTGGCAACACCTATCTGGAGAAATCTAGTGATGTGAGACTGGAGTGGTCACTCAGAAAATTCATTAAAATCATCTAGAATTTCAGGATGCTAAGAGCAATCTTATCATGTCCCTGGTCACCACCCTTGTGTTAGAGCACCACTGATCATCTTTCTATCTACTCAAGTAGCATCTGTGTTTTTATGTTTTCACATGTGGAAGTGCACTTCCTTATTTGTTCTGGAATATTGCCTTCATTATCAAACTTTACTGAGACAGGATGTGAATAAATCTTATAAATTAGGTTTGAAGTGTCTTGCTACTTCCTTTTTTTTCAGAACTTGACAAGGTTAATCTGAATGTGTGAGCCATGTTCTTCCCCATACTCGAGTAAATTTCAAAGGCCTGATTTTCATATGCCAATCTTGAAAAAGAGTGAAAATGATATATAATGTGAATTTTACTGCTTAGGTTTGTTTAAATGGCCATAGGCTGGAGGATTTGCATAATTAGGTACTGTGTGCGTAGGGTCACATTTTAATCTTTTGTATCATCTATGCAGAAGGTTATTATCCAGTGTGTGACACTGTCCTTCATCCTCTCCACCTCAGGTACTTATTTCACACATGAAGCCAAAGGAGCAGACGATGCAGCAGATGCAGACACAGCCATCATCAATGCAGAGGGTGGCCACACCAACTCAGACGAAAAGAAAGAGTACTACATCTAATCAAAACAGGACCCCTCGCTCTTGTGTTCTCTTTGGGACACCAAGCTGCTTTGGGGGCTGGGGAAGGGGTAGAGGGGGTTGATGGAGGGATTTGAGTTAGTTCAGGATCAGCTTTAGTGAGAGTAGAGGGGTCAAGGAGTAAGAGAAATGGGGTTTAAAAGAAAGGCCTGGTTTTAAGCCGTTGTTTAGTCTAGTCTGCAAATGTAGATGGAATGTTTTGTGTGTAAAAAAAAATAAAATAAAATCAAAAAAGGAGTAATAAAATGGAAGGGTTTGGGTTTTTGATAAATTGAGAGGGGGGTGGGTTGGGGGATTGGGTTGAGAGGGTGCGCCAGATGTTGCCAGAAGTCACTGTAGAGAGCTTCACCATTCAACACCTCCCTAACTGCTGGTACAATTTTTATTTAGTTCAACCATTTGCAGAAAATTCTGTGCCTTGTTCTGAATTTTTTGGTTCTAGCCATTCTTTGAATTTGGGTTGTTCTTCATTTGCATAACCACATCGCTTCCCATTTTCTCTTTCCCACTCATAATTACCAATGTGCTGTTGGCTTTTGTATGAGGGTAAAATTACACAGCCACTTTATTCATTTTCCTAAATGTGTCTCCACACATGCATCCTCTCCTGCATAACACAAAACTATTTCCAGTATACTGTGATTTGTCTCAAGCCATTACTTCCCACTCCCTGAAGTTTTGACAGCTCCAAAAATGCATGGAATGCTTTACATATCATTGTACAAAGGACATAAATGAGAAACAGGTTTGATGTACTGTAAATGCCCTCCCTTGCCCCCTCTTGAACACAATCGCATTCAAACAATAACCATAAATAAAGCATAATAGAAATGATAATAAAATGATCTTCCTATTCCAATTGTTTTAAAATGCTCTGTCAAAATCCCTCAGTAATAAAAGACCGCTGAAAAAACATTTGGCTTTAATATTGGCCAACCAGCAGTCAAATGATGACGGTGTACTGTATATAACTTTACGAAAGAGAAAAAGCCTTACCCTAACTCCACACTGAAACACATGCAGATTTATGTTACTTTTAGGAATTCATAAACTGCACAAAACATGAAAAAAAAGGTCATGGTAGTCCAGGTTCTCCCATAATGGTTCATGTTATATCATAGATACACAATCCAATGTAAATCAAGCCAATGGAATCACAGCTGAATTGTACACTAATCCTTACTAAGAAATATTTTTTACAACTTACTAGAATTACAATGGAGTACCTTTGTGGATTTTACTGTATCATGCTCATTGTGAGTTTTGTTAAAATGTAAAACCAGCAAATGTTGGGAAAGTAAATGTATTCAAACTGTAATGCTCTGAGAGACAGGTCAGTCATTCCACTTACATCACACCTTCTGAAAATATAGCCTGTGGTTTTGCTTTTATACAGCAGCTTGAGTGCTTAAACATTTGATATTTTTGCATGTCTGTATGTGCTAAAACCCATTATTTCTGCTTCTCTCTCTTGCTTTACAGTATGTATCACCTGCCAAAACTGAATGAAGCTCCATTTTGCTTTGCCTGCTAGGGAGCACTGGGGAATGCCAAAAGTAATTCATTGTTTGAAACAGAACCTAATACACATTTTGTGCTCCATGGTGTTAATCCATGGTTTGCATTAATGCCCTGGCTTCTTAACATGGCAATGAGGGACTATTGATGGAATTGTTGATCATTATAATGTGTTCACACAGCAAGCAGCTGGCTTAATGAGTTCTTACTCTATGTGACAGTTGTGGGTGGCATGAGGTGGAGCTCTACATTACAGTGTACACCTTCAATGTTTTGAACAGACAACGCTTGAATATGCCATGGCTTTGTATATCATGATATAATTTTGAACATTTTAATGATTCAAATGAGAAACGTATCATTAACCCCAACATGAGCTTTTAGACAGTGTTTCTCATTTTAGCTGTTTTTAAGATGTCAGAATGATGATTTCTGCTACAGCTTTCATATGGTAATGGTGATTGAAGGTTCTCATCAGTGATAACACCAAGATTCTTGACACAGGTGTTCAGAACCCTAGACTCAGGGTACTCATGAGCACCAGCCTTCCTTCTTTATTGCTGAAAATAATTATTTCAGTCTTGTCTTCATTTAGTTGAAGGATGTTTTGTTGCGTGCTGTTTACTTTCTCAACGCTTAGACATAAGTCTATAGGACCATAATCATTTGGTGAGAACACTAGATAGAGCTGGGTGTCAACTGTGTACCTATGATAAGCAACCGCATGCCTGTGAAGAATTCAAAAAAGAGGAAGTGTATACAGGGTGAATAGGAGAGGCCCAAGAATCAATCCTTGTAGGACACCGTATGCCATGGCGGTTCTTTTGGATTCAAAATTAGTGATACTTACTACATGTCCCCTGTCATCTAAATATTATCTGAACAACCTGAAAACCATTCCTGATGGCCTGGCACAATTTTCCAGTCTATCTAGAAGCATTTTATGGTCCACAGTTTCAAAAGCTGCAGTAAGCTCTGATAACATCAAGATTGTTAGACCCCCCCCAAATCATTATTCAGGCAAATGTAATTTAAAATCTTTATGTAAGCACTTTCATTGCTTTGATATGAACAGAAACCCAATTGAAATCTGTCAAAGATTTCAATTTTCTATGTGTTTCCTTTAAATCTTTTGGTTTTTAGTTGTAATTTTTCATTTTTAAAAGCATGTTTCTTTTATCATAAATATCAATATATTGCTCAAATCCAGTAACAGTAAAACTCACACAGAAAATTCCACTGAACACCTCTTTTACATTCAACCTTCTCTGGGATTTTAATTTGACTTTTTGGGACTTAATGCTGTTGTTTGCCTTGTGTACACGTATCTAAGATTTAATACTTTATTGCCATGTTAAAGCATTTGATTAGATTGTGTCAATGTTCAGCTCAGATTGCAACACATTAACAGTGTGATAGCTTTAATATATCATGATCACGCTTGAAGACAACATTCAGTCTTTCCACAGAGATTGTAGGTTTTGGCAATTGAGAAGGTTCTTGTTGTGAGCATTGTGCAAATTTCACTTTCCTGAACATAATGCTTCTGTGCATTTTTAGAAGTTCATATTTTTTTCCATAATTTAAAAAGACAGCACATGGGCTGGATAGTGCTGCAGACATGTTCTTAGCTTTTTCATTGGATGCAGCTATCTTCGTGGAGGGAATGGGGGAATGTTGCAGGCAAAGATCAGAAATGCTGTGTCCAACTCTCTCCCACTGTTTGTCCTTTTGTTAAAACTTGAGTTAATTTAAAAGTTCTGTACTCATAAGAGTTACCACTAAGTTAACACTGTATACTGATGACACTGTTTTGTGTTTGTTACATGCTGGGTGGGGGTTATGATTAGGTTAGATGTCTTATGGTCTGGTGTCTGATAAAACTATTAACTGGCTTGTTATTGTTGCTTTATGAATCACAGAGCAGATGTCACTTCATCTGTAAGACAGGTTGTGTGATTTGTATTTTACAGTGAGCACTGTTTTGCTTCAGTGACACGTGGCAGCTTCCATTTAAATCAGACTTCAAAAAATGTACTTGCCAATAAAGGAATCAAACTGAATATTGTCTTCTCCCATAAGGCTGATGCATTAATATTTTTTTAAAGAATATTAACCCTTTAAAGCTGGGCAGACACTGTATGTATTTGACCGCAGTTTGGCCCCGAATCAGTCGCCCCTGACTAATTTTGGAATCGAAATGAGTTTTAGCTGATCAGTTGTTATTTGATGTGCAGTGTGAGTGATTAATCACCCAAAGGGTCTGGCTCCTGGATGATCAGGTGGATTAATGGCATGACAGAAATTTTGGTCGGCTGTGTTGCCGCTTGAGTGGATCCACGGTAGGATTTCCAGCAATTGCTTGTAAAATGTTTATAGTGCACTTGCTTGAGTAAAAAGACAACAACATAACAATATGGCACAAATGAGATGCTGCATTATGGGAACAGCAACAGGAGAATTATTGGCAGGATAACACCACTGTTCCTCAGCTGTCCCTTCTTTGTGTTGACATCAGTTTTCAGGACATCTTGTACAAATAGAATTTTATTGGAATTGTTAATGAACACACAGTGTTTGGGGGTTCTGTTAAATGTTCAGTATGAGCGCTCACACCATGCATGGTTGAGCAAATGTACAGTAAATTGTGACCTGAGAAGTGGCAGATTCAGACCATGCAGGAAGGCTGATTAAAACATCATTCATGATAAATAAAAACCACAGTGTCTGCCCAGCTTAAAAGGAGGAGTGCTTCTCCAGAAATGTTTTTTTTAATAATAAGAGCGTTTGTTCTTCCAGAATTCCAATATGAAAAGTAACATGAACAAAACAACATAAAACTAAAACTAGAAGGGTTTAAATACTAAGAAATGGTGAGGATCCAATCTGAAGTTAATAGAGGGATGACATTTAATGTTATTTTATGTATCATTTAATTTTCTATTAAATGCCCAATAAAGTATAAAAAAAAATAGAAATGGTCTTACAGTGTAACTGTACCATAGTTTTCTCCATTCAATTTTTTGATAATGTCCTGTCTCAGGTTCATACGTTGCTGACTGATATGACTGCATCTCAGGTAGAAAGAAAAGTTTAGGCCCCACCTATCAGTGACATAAAAGCAAGTACAATGCATCCTCATCAAATCAAGTACAACACATTATTTTACACCCAAAAGGCAAAATTGGTAAGATATTTTGCATATATGTTGTACATGTTTTCTGTATTTTTCTTAATATTTGGTGCACTGTAAAAAATGTGTTAAGTATTGCTTTGTGTTGGCATAGATCATAAAGAGTACACTGTTTATTGAGATGAACCAGGATCAGAAACTTGTTGTGGCTGTACTACTGTCACTTTCAATGCACCATCGCCTTTGGAAGCTTGCTTGATTCCCAAAAAGGTTTTTATTGTTTCACCAGTCATTGTTTTTAGATTGATTCTTTTTGTATCTCTGCTGTTCTTGGAAAATGTTAATGTGTAATAATGGAGACAAGGAGTTCCACATTCCCATACACATTTTGTATTGGTTCATAAATAGACATTTTTACAAAACAATGAAGAGTTCTTGTCTTAATAAAAAAGAAAAGATATTAATGTCCAAAATAATCAGTGTTGGTATTGTTTTTTGTTTGTTTGTTTGTTTGTTTGTTTGTTTTTTGTTTTTGTTTTGTTTTCTTTTGGTTTGGTTTGTTTTGCTTGGTTTAACTTCAGATGTTAAGGTGTTTAAGATGATCCACCACAGATAAATATGGACTAATATGGGCACACAGCAACACATGCAGTATTGTTTCATTTATTTTTTTGTTTTTTGCTTTTAAAATCTAGTCTTAATTTCAGATTGACATCTGACTGAATTTATGTTTTTCATGCTGATAACGTAAACAGATGGTTCACAGATAGAAAAGTCCTTTTTAGTTACGGAATTTATATGCAACATGTATATGAACATATATGTTCAAAATGTCAGATTTTGATTGAAAGAATTTTAAAGAATGATGTTGGCAAACCACAGTTTAAAAAGTCCCCATCTTTACATCTTTTATTTATCACTGCTTTATAAGTAAATCACACTACTTTCCTCTGACTCACAGTGTAGATACCTTCAGTCAGCCACCTCATATAATGGATTATTATCTGAATATGTACAAAGATATTTGGCATTCAGGCTCTGACTTCACTCCATGCACGGAAACACCAAGCTCTGCACAGCAGGAACTGGGGAGTGGCAATAATAACTTCCCCTCTTTGGGGAACACAAACTCAGGTTGTACTTTATGAAGTGCTATATGAACAGCAATTGATTCTGTGTGTTTCAGCGTAGCTTTCAGGTGAACAGTGTGGCAGCAGGCATCGCATTTAGTTCCCATGATGTTCAAGTACTATTTTCCTTCAGTATATACCAAGCATTAACCACAAAATGTATCAAGTATTAGGTGCTGCATATCTCTCAGACCACAGGAGTGCAGGACACACCATCTTGATATACTGGTATGGAGTGGAATGTATGTTGTACCCTGACTGTAGCAGAATTTAAAAAATAGCCTATTTAAGTATTAAAATAAAACAAAGAGGAACACAATAGTGTCTCTAACCAAGGTGCAGCAGGACGTCTCTCCAAAGTCTACAAGATTCAGAAGTTATATCCACCAGCTAAAGGACCAACAAGTGTCTGATGTTGGTACATGAAAAAAAATATGGTTAGTGCCAGAGTTCCCGAGCGGTCTCTTTCATCAATGTACAGGTTGTAGCTGACTACAAAAGTGTTGCCATATTTGGCAAAAAGGAGGGTTACCAAGTGCTGACTTAGTAGTGTGCTCAAACTGTTGCAATGCATTTTTTCAAGTTCATAAAATAAAGAATAGCATTGGTTGAACATTTGAAGAAATGCTCATTTATAATGTCTTGTTTGCAGGGGCTTGTATTTTTTTATTTTTTTTTTTTTTTTTTACTTTAAAGGTCCACACAGTATGTAATTTGCCCAAGAGTGCCAAAACTTTCAACATCACTACAGAGTAAGTGGATATGCATTTGTAAGCAAAAGCTCCTTTATTCAGTCTGAAGTGAACCCTGGCAACTGCAGATGTCATGAAATCTTTATCACATTCATAAACCTGAGTAAATATGCAGAATAATCAAAGCACTTCTAATTAGCACAAATATAGGGTAATACCTTGAGGAGCACCATGAAAGCTTGAAGAAATTTGACAAGATTTATACTCTGAAAATCAATCTTTTTTTCCCCTGCTTGATGAGTGCAGTGAACCTTTTTAGCTAACATCTTAAATAAATGGGGATAGTGTTATTGATTCCAACATGGTAGTAAATGGAAATGACATGAGATGAGCTATCTGTCATAATAAGTTATATTTCTCCATTCATATTTAATGTTCATGAGTCAGGATTTACTTTAGACATTAAAACACCTATAATATTCAGTATTCAGTGGGTGACTTGAGTAGAGGAAGATATTATCTTTTTAATTACATTTTCACCTCAGGCTCTCATTACACCTCAAGTGCTGTACATAATGAGCCAACATCTTAAATAAGTAAAGGTGATACTGCTATTGATTAGAAAGTGAAGACCCGGGGCAAGCTATCAGTCATAGAAAATGTACTTCGGAGTTCATATTTAATGTGCATGCCAGTTGGTCTCTCATAGATTCATTACTCAATATCCTCGAATAACCTAAATAGAAAGAAACATTATTCATTACACTTTGTAACAGCAAATGGCTACACTTAATAAAACCACAGTACTCTATGTGTCCTTAATGTTATTTTGTCTAAAGTAATGAAAGCTCAGTTATGCAGTCTTGGTTTGATTGTTAACCTTGCAAGCTCAAAAGGTTAAAGCTGTGACATCCTGAAATGAATAGCACATTATTTACCCATTACTTATGCACAGGAACCACATTGTTGTTTGACTCCAGTATTCTGATACTGATCTAATGAACACTGAGAAAAAGTCTCCTTGTTACCACTCACTTATCATTCAGAGATTGCTTGTTTAGCATTTTAGGCCATTAAAAAGAGGCTCCGCAAAGCAAATATTTACAGCATGGTATCAAGAGGTGAACCAGAAGTGATTATGAATGATTTATTGATTGTGAGGTTGTAGGGGACAAGAAAGAGCAGACCCATAAACTGTCGTGATAATGGCAACCCTTAAGGGTACTCGGGAAATTATGCCATCTGTGAGGGCTTTCAAAAATAACCTACTTGCCCTTGCTCTACAATCAGATCAGGTCCCCATTATATAAAGAGCAATATGTCATATATGGTTTTTTTTTCATGCAATCATTAATACAGGGTTGCTAATTAGGATTGCTAATTTGAGTGTTATCATGCCATTCACTGATCATAAACCTAATCATTGTAACCATGACAACAAAATGATAACTACTTATAACACCTACTGAACCTGCTAGTAAGTTAGTAGGGACCTACAGAGCCAGAACTACAGTATGCCCCAATAACAAGTGACAAGGGCCTGTTGAACGGTGTGATAACATCCAAAGCAGGTTATTACAAAGTCTGCTGTCTAGAGCGCATATGGGCTCTTTTTGTTGTGGTTGTTCAAGCTCTGTGCTTCAGTTTTAAATAATATAATGGATACATTGTGCTAACCTTGTGCAGCCTCAAACGGAAGTTTGAGAGCTATATGTCAAAATAATATCATTATTACAGCAGCACCATGAGGTCAGTTGATGTGAAATTTGTTGCCTGAGTAGTGGGTTACCTTTTGAGCACTTCTGCCATCTTTGGTGTCTCTATGTCTCTTTTTAAGTTTCTGATATTTAGACACTTTTAGAAAATATTAATAATCCTTACAATTTCAAGACATGTGCAGCATCCACAGTGCTTGGATTAATTAGTTGGTGTGTCTTGGTGACCAACTAAGCCTAAAATACGCATCAATTTATCACGACGAGTCACTATAAATCACATCACTAAACATATGTTAGGAAAGAGTTTGGCAGAGTACCAAGAATAGTTGCAGGGACTATAAACAAAACTAAAACCACAGCTTTTCTTTTGAACAGGATTTTCCCTTGTTAATTAAGACATGTTTATTGTTAAACAATGACTTGCTCATTATCTTTGTGTTAACAAGAATTAAGTTAATAAGGGCAGTTCTTATCACAAAGGAAAGGCTTCTCTCCTTCTTTTCTAGTTTGCTGTGACTAAACAAATGCTGCTTTTACAAAGACATTGCTGCAGAAAATGGTCTTAATTAGGAATGTAGGCTACACAAAAACAACTTTTAGTCCACAGGGTGGAGAGAGAGCCTATGGATGTCAGTGTTGGTCCATTGGCCAGATGGAAATCACTAATCTCTTTAAAGCTTTTCATCCACTGCAAAACTTAGTAGTCACTGACTATGAAGTTCATTCACTTTTTACAGCTAATTGGTCACACCTCCATTCAAATGCACTTCAGTATGTGCTGTACATCAGCAAATAAACACACCAGTGTTCAGAGGCACTTGAACATACAACAGCGGTGAATGCATCACTGTGCCTACTGACAGCTAAGTTCACTTCTAACTGTCTGCAGGTCAGTGCATGGAGAGATTATGAAATAATGGGCCTCTGCCTGTGGTTATTAGGATGGAGCTTGGTCTCATGAGAAGCTTGGGCTTGTTTCCATCAACACAGGGGAATTAAATGTTGCTCCTCATGGACCCCAGCACAACATACAGCAAACTCTAGGGACTTGAAATTTGCATGACTCAAGTTGCCAGCAAAAAATCTTTTGGTGTGTGCTCTTTTTTTGTACAGCGCTCACGGGCAGTAAAGTTATAGCTGCAAGGTTTTTGCACTTTAGTCTTGCTAGTTTGCAATTAAAATGCCATCAACCAACCACGTAACGTGAACATGCACACATATTATTTACTGAAGTCAATGAAGTGGTGACAATAATTATTATTATAATAACAAAATCAGCTGAGAATATGAAAACAATGTGACAGTGTGAAAGGAATCGGTCATCATGAAGACCTTTACAGAAAGTAATCAAAACCAGCCAGATCTGAAGCTCCCATCGGCTTTTAGGAGTTTTATAGCAGGTTCCAGCTCATTGTTTAGCTGTCTGGCCTGGAACTTTACTGTTTTGGTTCACTCTCACCACTCTCGCCAAAATAAAATAAGCTCTAAAAACCCACTGTGCAATACCTGCCCAGCACCAAATGGAAAATATACACTGTAATTAGACGGTGAACACTGCCCAGCTTGGAGGCCACAGCAAATAAGGAGAGCACGTGTGGGGGATTAACTAGAAGAAAGAAATTTCATTAAATAGATATGAATTGTGTATATCAAATGCAGCAAAAGTACTGAGACTAACAAATGGGACTGACATGGAAACGTACTAACATGCTAATTAGGATAGCGGCACACAAATTTCATGTGCTCAGATTATTTTAAAGCCTACTGTACCCCACTCTACACAGCCCACTTGTGGGGCAGTTATGCATGATTCATTCAGAATCTTGCTTGAGCTAACAAGATGGAGAACAGGAAGTAATATGTATAATCTTCCTGCCCTTGATGCTGTGTTGAGGAATTGTATGTATAAATGTACTATATGTTGGTTAAC